TTCAGCTGTACCAAGCACAGGTCCGGTCGTGCATGGAGTACTGCTGCCATCTTTAGGGTGGCTCTGCTACATACCAACGGGCTACCTTGGATTCAATTGACAACCGTGGCAAGAGGCTTATTATAGGTGACTCGGAATTAATGGAGGTGAAACTGCAGAGCCTTGACCACCGCCGTAAAATTGCCTGCTTATCGCATTTTACTGGATATATCACGGAGAGTGTTGGATGGAATTACACGATTTAATTCCGCCTTCCCCTTTCCATCACCGGGGAACTAGCCGTAGGTTTGGGTTCCACCTCTATGTTGTGCATATTCTAAAGATTGTCACGAAGCGTTACGCTTTTACATTTATATGGCGAACGGCTAGGGAGTGGATTTCCCTGCCTGCAGACTTGTTCCCTGAACGTTATAACTTGGCCCTTTTCATGGCGAGAGTTAATAAGCATTATTTAGGTGTGCATGCTCCATCGTCTACCTCATGGTCACTTTCCACCAGGTGAGATGGAGGTCACATGCGTATTTACATTTTATAAACAAAAGAACTTACTAAAAAGAATGTATCCTTTACTAGGTTTTGCTCTGGAGCAGCCGATTTACCAACTTATGTATTTAGTATGTAGATACCTACACACTGGTTCTACCTAGCTTTATACATAGGTCCATCTTAATTTCAGACGCATACAAGGTGGGTACCGCACCATTATAAGGATGTTGCTGACAAGACCCTAGCTAAAAAAATAGATTTAAAAGATGTACAGGGTCAAGAGCACGTCAAGCTTGACACTTAAGGTTTAAATTAACTCTATGCCGCTTGCAAAAGTGTCAAACTTGATGTGCTCTTGACTGTACGTACAGGCTTATTTTTTTAGCGTAGAATACGATCCACACCGGCTTGCTTTAAGAAATTGGTTAACCGCGGTACAAGTACAAGTTACACCTACAACATTTTATATTCATTTTGAAGAAACGAAACTCCTGAGTATTTTGTCCAGCCCCACAACGACTACTTTCCTATACATGACGCCTGACTGTTTTGTTCGAAGAGACGCTACTCGTCATCGAGTTCCGTTGCCTTTATTTTGTTACATTTTACAACAAAATTCTGTCCACGGAGCAACTGTCTCTTTCACACCTATATAAAATGATCATGTTCCGTATTCTTTTTAATACCTATGCGACTTTATATGACAATTCAACTCGATATAGATTGAGTTATAAAAAGTAACACACTAATATAACTAATAATTTTGTTTACTGCATATGAGCAATTTCAAAGTTCGTAAAATAGTTCTTTTTTTTCTTAATGAAAAGAATATCGCATTAAGGGTGTTCCTGTTAAATAAAAATAACCTATAGAAGCATACGTACTTAACACGTAACAAAAGTAACTGCCATCGTCTAAATACTTAACTTTTGGTTTACACTTCTTTCTTTATGATTTTTAGTTTCTGAAATGAAATCGTAACCTTCCCCTAGTGAGAACGTACCGGGCAAGGACGACGATTGTATCGAAAGCAGTTAAATCGACGATAAAACAGGGGACGCTTATCAGGAAACCAGACACGCGTCTTCTCCCCACGTTTATGATGTCACGGTTCATTCTAATAAGCACAGTATTTTTTTAAACAAACGATTAGGTAGAAAACATAGGTACCTACTGCGTTTAGAAATAAGCAATAAATAAAACTAGCAATAGCGCTGCGAATAGATAGTACAGAGTCGTTTCTTCTCCCTGAGAATTAGTGTTCTGTGATAGACAGTAACCGAAGTTCTAGCATGATTGCAATCGGACAATGAAGACAACAAAGAAGTAATCGTGCACGCGTAGGGTGGGAATACCAAATCAGGCTGCTAAAAGTACCTTATTTCTTATTTACACCATCAGGTTTTGTACCTCCTATATAGTTAAATATCATAATCACTACAATATTTGATGATAAATTTATTAGTCATGGACATTTCATTATGCTAGTTTACTCTTTGATAGGTACTAACGGCCAAGATTTGATTGCTGCGATCTCACTTATTGTAGAGTTTGTAGTTTTCGCGGCATATCTCATTACTGACCGTCATTACACAAAGCGACCTTATTACCAGCGTTTCACTATACACTTCCTGCCCATTCGTGTGCAATCTGTAGTGTGCAAATCCGTTAATCTTATTTGGAGGGTAGTGTGTGCACGTGGCGCCACGTGGCACGAAATCGAACTAATCTTGGGGCCGTACGCGTCGGCGGGTAAGGCGCGTGCGCCGCCCTGATAACGCCAAGAAACGCCATTCATTCCCCGCTCTTTTGTCCCGAACAATCGCATATTTATTTATGATATTTGCTAGCAACCTGCCAGGCTCACCCTCTAGATGTGACGCGTTAATACGCACTTAACTCCAGCTTAGTTTTATAATTTTGCGAAGCTAGTTAATGTATTGAGGGGAGCACCTATTATTCACAGGAAACTGAACGAAAAAGGAACCGATTTCAAACTTTACCATCGGTTACCGGAAAGTTCGCGAAACTGGATGCATCCCCTAGTTTGCCACCCTTAAAAGTGGAATATTGTCTTCAAATTTACATATTTTTTTCAATAATACGAAATGGGACCAATACTGAGGTACCCTCTTTCCAACAAAAAAAATCATCAAAATCGATTCACAAAAGCCGGTTGGAGTAATCGCGTAACATACAAACAAAAAAATACAATCCAATTGAGAACCTTCTCCTTTTTAAAGTCGGTTATAAATAAGTAAATAATCGGACATTGATTAACTATAAACTAATGGACTAAAAAGCTTAGAGGATGGAAAACAATAAAAGACAAAAATAGATTTTGAAAGTATTACATATACCTATAGATGTACGGGGTGGTGAGACAACGGCAACCTGCACTTATAAACTCATAGCGAGGTTAGGATTGTCGTAAAGATACATACAATAATTACCAAAACTTTACAATTTCTTAAAAGTAATACAAAGGTTTAAAACCCCACAATCCACATCGTTCAAAATAGCGAGAATATGGCAATATATTATTTTTAAAGTTGCAACACCGGTCTTACCATTTCGTTGTATTCGAGACAGTGGTCTCGAACCTATCGATTTTTCGGTATTCCTACCGATTTGGCGCTCATCCTACCGAAATACCGAAATGGATTGATTTTTCTACGATTTTTTTTAAGGAATTTTTATCGATTTTCAATAATCCAAGTTGGCATCCCTATTTTTTTATCTTTTACAGGGACAGATAACAAAAATTAACACAGGAATTTCCTAGCTCAAACGTCGATCGACGTGTAAACGATTTATTTGGGGAATAAAAACTTACCATTTTAGGGGATTCACTGAAAAAATTTGTAGTTTGTATAAATAAGAATTCGGATTTCTTCATTCATTTATTTTCTTAAATTTTATTAAAGTGGTTCATTGTTCGTTTGGTGGTCTCTTAATCAAAATGTCATCGAACGAAAAACCAAGTGCAAGTTACAGTGGACCATTCAAATAACAAAATGACACCTTCACCAGCTCAGTCGTCATCTTGTGGCTGCACGTCGAAAAGGACGAGTGAAGATTAGGACATTTTGATTATTTCTTTATTCTGATCGCTCTTTTTGGTATTTTCCACGTCTTTTATGGTTAATTTCATAAGTTGGACTTGTTTATCATTGTTATTTGTTGATTTAAGTAAGTACGTACTTACCTACCTAGTATACCTATATATATATATACCTAGTATAGGTAAGCCTGCCTAACTGTTAATAGTTTTAATAATATCATGATTGAGTAAAATACTATTCCTACTTTAAAATATAGTATAATAGTATAATAGGGATTTGTTCAATTTATTGGTTTTTTTTATTTACCGATTTTTGGTCCAAATATACCGATATTACTTGACAACACTACCGATTTCGCATTTTGACTTTCGAGACCACTGATTCGAGATTCGCTCTGGATCTTTTGGAGGGAAAAGTGTCATTTTTATTTTGACTTTCAATTATTTTGTGAAATCTAGTTTAAAGTGGAATAGGATAGTGCTATTGTGCCTTAATCGAAGATTAAAGCGCGAAATTATAAAATCTCGAACTAAAATACCCGTATCGGCCCGTTTTAAGGAATCCCGAGTCAATCCAAGCACGCCGCCTCTAATTGCCTATCCTCTTTGTGGCGGCCATATTTACAGAAACATAATTAAACTTCATGTTTAGGCTGATGGCTTTGCCAAAGCCTTAATAAATTAAAAAAAATTCGTTGTATTCTAATTTGACATCAGACACAATCGAAGAGATATGACTCAAATGCTTTACGAAAATACCTTAGAGGATGGAAAAAACATAGTCTAAGGAAAATACCTTCAAATGCTTGAAATATATTCAAAGAAGAAGGTCTCATAAACACAATAATAAAAACATGAAAAAAATTGTTGAAGATTTGGCTTGGAGGATTTATTCCGATGCCGTAAAACTGACATTTGAAAAAAAAATTAAAAGAATTTTTTAACATTGAGGGTCGTATTCTAGAACTCTACTCAATGCTCAAGTCAGGATTGCACTGGAAATAGAACCCTGATGCTGCCATTAGGGTCGTATTTCCAGTGCTTGAAATAATACACAAGTCTGCTCAACGACCCTTAGGGTCGTATTCTAGAACTCTACTCAATGCTCAAGTCAGGATTGCACTGGAAATACGACCCTAATGGCAGGGACTTGAGTATGATTTCGAGTGCTTTAAACTATACTCAAATCCTGACTTAAGCATTGAGTAGAGTTCTAGAATACGACCTTAAGACTTGTGATTACCACTGAAGACGAGGCAGTATGGTCATTGACCCTTGCCTGTCTTTTTTGGACGAACAGAAGAAAAAAAATGACTTTGTGACGTTTCACTGCGTTTGTTTCATCTTGTTGTGAAACTTTAATGTGTTTTCTCAATTATAACATCAATAATTTACACGTTATAACAGTAATATTAACGAATTTTCTTAGTCATATTTGTAATTAATTATAAGCATGGGTGAGGAAGATGAATATGCGTGCGTGAACAGAGCGCAATTAAAGATCAAGGATAATTCTGGAGTTAAGAAGAAGAAGAAAAAGAAGCACAGCAAGGAAACAGAAAAAGCTATAGAGAACGAAGTCAAAGAGCAAATCAAAAAACAAACTGTGAAAGATACTAAGACAAAAGCTGAATTGGCGTTTTTAAAGATGCAGGAAAAAATGGTAACATATCCACCTACCTTAAAGCAGAATACACTAATACTACCCTTCACAAAGTACAAACTAAGTTTTCCTATTACTGTAAGAGCATGTAAAACATGGGCCTTTTAAATTCCTTATTTCCTTGTCCATCTTATTACGTTTCACTGCACTAATGACTATATAGTCTTGCCGATTTCTTGTATGCGGTTTGTAGTATAATAACAATATGCCAACAGCCACATCAATTATCTGGTCTCAAAATAAGGAATTACCTGAACTGTGAGTATGAGTGCAACGGAATTCTCTCCAGGTCACTACTAAGAACACCCAGACCAGAACCATTAAGATTTAGTAAGGTTGACTTCCTAACTTGGTTCTACTGGGAATAGAACCAGGACCTCTTCCTCCAGCTCCTTCAGTGCTAAATGTTTGGCACCAAGATCATCATGTTGATGTAAACTAAGCAAAAAATATAATTTTTTTTATAATATTCAGTAATGGGATGAACAAGTCATGCATGTGATGGTAAACTACATGCCTATCCATAACAGTGGCAATGCCACTCAAAACTTTAAATTGCAAAGATCTGAGGGGCACTGCCACTGCGCCTGTCACCCTGAGACATAAGTTGACAAGCCCTATGCGCCTGTAATTTCACCAGCACCCTTACCCATCAAAACTGGAACACAGTAATGCAGACATTACTGATTGGTGGCAGAAATAGGTAAGGTGGCAATACTACCCTGGATGAACTCTTTTACAGGGAGCTCTACTGCTACTAAAAATATATGAAATGTCTTGCATATTTCCCAGTCTACCCACACAGACACTACAAACCTTACATTTCCTAAAAATTTTGGTACTGTAGCGTCCTAGAGCCTCATGGTGTGTCTAATGAACAGCCATTTTTCATCAATTTTTTAAAACTTCCACAAGTCTCGTAGTGAACTGTGTTTGTGTGACCGGTTAATACAACTTTATTTCTTGAATAATGACGCCTTTTTTTAAATTGAAGTAACTGCTTGTTTCAGCAAAAGCAAAGAATTTTACAAAAGGCAGAGATGACTCATAAGCAGCGTGTGGAGAAGTTCAACCAGCACCTAGACAGTCTTACAGAGCACTTTGATATCCCCAAAGTATCCTGGACTAAATAGACATTTCTGTTTAGGATATTTTTACTGTATAAGGAAATCATTAGTGACATTTGTAGTTTTATTCTATACATAGTACACTATAATTTTCACCTTAAATTACACCATAGAGTATATAACCAGAAATAGAGACAAAATGTAATTTAATTTGTTTGAAAACTATTTACCATATCATTACTGTGACAATTGTGCTCCGATTGGCTAGCCCAAGTTTGAAACAATTGACGGGTGTTGTCAACTGTTTCACTTCAAATCAACCAGTTAACTTGAGCTTTGCTATAATGGACGAAAATTGCAAAATTACATATTTAATTACCAATGAAATGTGATTCCGTTTGTTCTGTAATAGATGTTTTGCTGTTTTTCCAACATCACCGAATAGAACAGCACGGCATTGTTAGAGATATTATCTTTATTACAATAAATACAGAATATTTTTTGGAATATACGGAGACATACACACAGGTCAGTAGTTGGCCTGTCTATATATCAGTGCAAACGAGAGTTGATATTTAAGAGATGTATCGCTAATGTATTACCAGGAATATATGGCCCTTATTTCGTCTCTATCTCTAGTTATTTACCTGATGAATTACACTAAGGCTCAAATTACATTGATGTTGAATGAAATAGAAGCAAATTTTTGTTACTATAGCATAACAAACTTTATGTGAATTTTACATTGTCTTACAAATAAATGGACGACGGGTCTAATACAAAAACCACGAAAAAAATGTCCCAAGTCAACCTATTCGAAATTTAAATTGTTATGTCATCGCAGTATCGCGCTGTCCGTAGAACAAATGAAGACTAAAGCGGAGTGTCGCGCTCTGTATACGATTTTAGCACCTTACAAGTGCGGACACTTTTTAGCGCGGACCCGACGTCCATATAATTGTAAGTCAATGGAATTTTATAATAATGTTAATTTTCTGTGTACAATTTTGTTAAAAAAATTTGCTTCCATTATGTTCTGCATCATGAATTGACCACCATTTGGAAAGCCTATTATGAATTTTAATAAAAATTTTGTGAGATAAATAATCTCCTGTTGGTCATATTTTTAATTAGAAAACAAATAAGTTTAATTATTCCAATTATTTATTGCATTTTGTGAACACAGGTACAAAAACGTTAAAAAACACATCATTTTAAGTAAAAGGCAATAAAACAAAATAAAATATTCCATAGAACCGATTTGTTTTTTATTATATATTCCATAAATCATTTATGGATCTTTAATCTACACTTGTAATGTTGTTACGTTTACACTTTACACTGTGTTGTGGTTACACTTAACTAAATTAAGAGAAGGTACCCAATTACCTAAAAATAACACTGCTATAATAGTTGCAGATTTAGGGAGCTACCTGTGGTTCTAGAGATTGAGGAATGGTGCCTCTGGAATAAGCTTATTCCAGTGTGGACTGTAAAACACCTTTATAACTTGCTAAACGAGTTGACTAACTGCCGATTACTTACCCATTCGAATTTCAAAAATTCGATCATTGTCATGCTGAAATAAAATGGGTGCGTTTCGCTTCCGCTCAGACAGCCGACACGGAACACGCGTCTTTTTTGCTCGTATTACATGGATATAAAGCTTCTTTTTACCTGCCCAAGTGAATTCTTATATGTGTGGTAAATGCCTACAGCAATATAAAAATGTCAATTCTCTCACATCGTGGATCGTACACATACCTGTCTGTAATTGGATACTGTTGATTTACAATTGCTGCTCCAAATGGGAAAAATACTTATAAAATCAAGGAAATGTCATGGGAAAAGTGCATATTCTAAGCTACATTAAGGACGGACATAGTTATAAGATCTCTTAAATTACTTCAAGGCACTAAATTACTTAAACTAAATTACTAAAATTCTTAACTGGTTTATGAGGCACACATTTGCACAATTAGAAACTATCTATTCTTTCTATACTTAGAGATTTCTTATAAACAGCTTAGTTTAGTAATTATAGTAAGCCACTGAATATTATTATAATAAATGTGTTGTCTATCTATTATAGATATGTTTGTCCACTTATAAAATACAGGGTGATTTAAAATAATTTGTCAAAAAGTGTGTTGCTACTCAAACAAAATAATACCACATACTTATGAGGATAGGTTGATAACAGCAGTATGTAATCATTCAATTTGTCCAAAGAAAAAAAAAATCTGAACACAGACCAGATGCTATTGTTCAATAAATGATCAAGTTGACCATTTAAAAACTGACAATATTGTTAGAGAAAAGTTGTGACACTTGTTGTAATCTACCCCTAAAATATTTATTTACGATAGTGACGTGCATACACTCATTAGTAACTTGATAGTGACGTACATACACGCATAAGGCACTTACAACAATACTTTCGCTACAATAGGTAATACCAAAGTAACAACACTGGCTAATAACGGCGCAGCTTTGTTGCTTTTCCAAAATGAGTATGAAAATGTGAATATTTTTACAAAGTTCTCTTTAGTTGACCAGGGGTCACTGCCGTCATCAAAATGCATGGGACATTGATCCCTCTCTCGCTCGTACTCTTCCATTTCAACGGCGACCGCAGCGCCCTCTGTGTAATTCCATGAAGTCACGTCTTGGTTTAGATCGCAATACGGACCTAGCGCTTGTGACATTAGGACTCTGTAAAAAAAAAATATAACGATTATGTTCACGTCTCTTAAGATTATAAAACTAAGTATCAATTTTTTTTTCATATACCTACTCGTATTTCTATTTCACATGAATATAATTGTAATTATTGTTCGGCTAAATGGAGTTTTCTACAACAATACCCATAAATTAAGGAACATACGACAATAAGAACCTACCTGTTAAGATCCGCCCTCTGATACACCCAACATCTGTACTTAGAGAATGGATCCAATTCATCATAAGTAATCAAATAAGATTTGAGATTCTCTTTCCAATATCCAATACATTTCATTTTATAGTCAGGGTCACTGTAAATATCAACAGGTCTACCCAAGTAGTCCACCGAGAGACAGTAATTCTCTTTTATTTGTATTGTTTTCTGATCTGTATCACATACAGAAAAATCACTAATGTTTAATTTGCAATATAAGTTTGGTCGAGGACTAAGAGTCACACCTCCAAGGATTCTAGTCTCGAATTTCACGTCTCCTTTTTGTGTGAAGTTGAATTTGCCTGCGACAGGACAACGGATCGGAGTTGGGTCTCTTTTTAAGAACAAATCGTAGCGCCATTTTTGCCGATTTGGAAATTGTACCCATGAACAGACTGTGTGGAAATTGCTTTGAATCATTGCTAGGCTTTTGCGGTATCTGAAAGTGGCAGAAAAAAAATTTGCATGTATAGTGTCCCACGACAAATCCTAAAGCCCTTCCACGCGTCACGATCTCGAACGCACCCGTTGGGTATAGACATTAGTTAATCATGATTGATGTAATGGTTGAAAGATTCACTATCGTAACAACATTTTACAGCGCAATAAGGGCGTGTTCCTATTATGTCATGACGATAGATAGTCGTGCAGTTTAAAGTGTCGTGGCTTCTATATTTAAATGAAGTTCACACATGGAACAACAAGACTTAACTGTCGTTCACGGCTTTTTTGACGTTTGGACGACAGACTGTCGAAACAATCGGAAGAGCTCGAACGGCAGTCGCCCGACCATAAATTAAAACGTCACGATAAATAAGTGACGACAGATATTCGTAGCTTCAAACGATTATGTCGTGCAAACAACAAAGCGGCTGCCGTGAACCGATA